TGCAGTTGCATCAAACAGATGGCTGGGGAATTAAGAAATGAAGAAATGGGAGTTCTCGTGTCTTGTGCAGCGCTGGGCCAAGGGGCAGCCTAGAGAAATCTGGTTAATACCTTCGGAGTTTGGGACTAGTTGCAGTGTTTCTCAACTTCGGCAGCTTGAAGATGTGTAGAGTTCAATTCCTAGAATTCCCCAAACAGCTCTCAGTCTCCAAGTGAGCCTTGGTGGTGCAGTGGTTAGAATGCAGTACTGCAGGCTACTTCTGCCAACTGCCGACTGCCTGCCGTTTGGCAGTTCGATTCCGACCGGCTCAACCTTCCATCTTTCCAAGGTCGGTAAAATCATGAGGATCCAGATGGTGGAGGGACAATAGGATGACCGCTTAGAGAAGGCTGTAAAGCACTGTGAAGCGGTCTATAAGTCTATTGCCGTATCAGTCTTAAGTGCTATTGCTATTGCTACAGCATGTTCCTGTGGTGAATTCTTGTCAATTTCATGGAATCGTCAAAGGGAGAGAGTGTTCTCTTTTGTTCCTCAATCCAGAGGTAGAGCTGGTTGGGCTTTTTTTCAGTCTCCACTTCTGGTCACTTCAGGTCCTGCGTTCCCTGGGCTACATCAACGAAGGAGGAGCCGTGGAGCTCAAGGGGAGCGTGGCCCGTCAGATCAGCAACCACGAGCTACTCCTGACGCAGCTGCTCCTGGACAACGCCCTGACCGACCTGCGGCCTGAGGAGATCGTGGCCTTGCTGAGCTGCACAGTGTGCCAGGTCCGCACCCAGGTGGAGCCCCAGCTGCCCTCTGTCCTTCAGAAGGTGAGTGGGGAGTGGGAGAAGGGAGGGAAGTGGGACTACAAGGGAGGAGGGCTTGAGTTGCCATTTAGGCTTCTTCCTCTCCTCCAGTCTTCGTTCGACACCGACATCTCAGGGTTGTTGGCCTCCTGGTGAGATCCAGGTGGGCAGCTACTATGAGAACTGGCTTAATCAACCATCCCATTGGCATATGCGGCAAAAGAAACTCCGGGCACATTATTTTACCAAGAATATAACTTTACTGAGTGGTGCGGTGACTTAGAGGTGGAGCTCTCGCCTCACAATCAGGAGGCTGTGAGTTCGATCCTAGGTAGCGGCAGAAATTTCTCTCTCTGGGCACACTGAGAATATATCTGCTGAATATAACTCCGCATTGGCAACAGGTAGGGCAGCCGGCCAATAAACATTCAGCTCCATTCACTTGTCCTGACTCCACCCCAATGCAAGGGATTACGGGGTCCTTAAAAGACCAAATAATAACTTTACTGATAGATCTGCGATGACCCAAAGGGGTGTGGCCCAAAGGCAAATACAGTCACATAAAAAGAGTCCCTATAGTACCTCCAACTTTGCCCCCAATGTCCAGGTTACCTTCGGCTAGAGAAAAAAACTCCCAGGAACAGTCTTTAAGTGGAGGAAATTCAGTCCGAAAACAAAGTACATACAAACTGTAAATAAAAAGTCCATACAAACCACACTGCAGCAATTAACTTGACAGGGCAGGAAAAGGAATTGCAGACTTGAAAGTCCAACAAAACACACCCAGTTGCGAAGACACCAGGAACCCAGATAAGCCTTGACAGTACCAGATAATTCACGATTTGCTTTCAACCGTTTGCTGTGCACAATTTCCCTTTTTAAACACTGTGTTCCCAGCTGCAGGGAATGAAGGGAATCAGGGCCTTTCCTCCCCCATAGGCCATGCAACTCACATTGCTCCCTTCTCCGTTTCCCCCCTGCGTGCCCTAGGATGAAGAGGGAGTGGGCCTGGATCTTCCTCCGAATTCCCTCTCCCTTGCTCTACCTCTCCCCTGCTCTGCTCAGCCGGACTTTGCCCTTCCCCAGTTTCTTCCACAGCCAAGAGAGCCACACTCCCACTCCCTGTCGGCTGCTCAACCTCCTCCTCCGAATCAGATTCCGATAGGGGCATGACAGATCCATATAGGCACAGTAGAAGCAAAGCCAGTTCTGAAGTTTTCACGTGAAATACTGCATAGCTAAAAAATCTCCCTTCCCCACCGTCTCCAGGCTACCCACTGTCCCTTGTCCACCAATCCAGTGCAATCTCTTCGTTTTGGGAGACAGTCCACTTAGCTCAGAAGGCTCTCATTGATCGACCTTGAGGCGAGGAGACTCTCCCAGGTCCCAGATGGAGCGCATGAATTCCTCAGTTCCCTCCCGGCCACCCTCACCTTCCAGTCATAATCCCTCTTCCCTCCTTTCCCGGTTTCCATTGGGTCTGGCTGTTGAGCAAAAGCGCCCAGCGAGTTGGCCATGAGAGTTAGCGTCTCCTGGACGAATCCCCACCTTCTCTCCCTCTTCCTCCTCCAGGGCATAGAGCACATCCGCTTGGTAGCCGAACAGATCGCCCTCCTGCAACGCAAGTGCGGCCTGCAAGAATCGGTCGAGGATTTTGTGGAGCAGTACAAATTCGGGCTGGTGGAAGTGGTTTACGAATGGGCCCGTGGCATGGTAAGGGGTTGAGGCGCCACCGAATACCTTCCCAGTTTGAATGCTCTCATCCCACGGGGGACCACCTTTCCCTCTCTTACCCTTAAGACAGACAAAGCTCCCCTGTGTGTGGAGCTAGTAGAACAGGGGTGTCGAACTGGGTTTCTTCGTGGGTCGGATCAACATTTAGTTCCCCTCCACAGGGCAACCTCAAGCGCCATCTCGGAGAGCCACCTTCACTTTTGTAGCTTTTACTTTCCACCACTCCCCGCAAGCACTCCCCTTCTTCTCAACACACACTCCCCGTCCCCCAGTTTCATATCAGACCGGTACTGAACGCCCGGCGTGAGGTGGCCGTTCTAACCGATAGGGTGCGCTTCCGCCCCGAGAACCAGCTCCAACATCTTCCTTTTCCTTTCCGTCCGTCCCTCAGCCCTTCGCCGAGATCGCCCGCCTGACCGACGTGCAGGAAGGCATTATCGTCCGCTGCATTCAGCGCCTGGATGAAACCTGCCGCGAGATGCGCAACGCTGCCCGGGTGACGGGGGAGCCGACGCTGCACGCGAAGATGGAAGCCGCCTCCAACATGATCAAGAGGGACATTGTCTTTGCCGCTAGCCTCTACACCCAGTGAGGGGTGAGTGGGGGGGGGGGGGGCAGATGCCGGCTGGACTGGGTCCATTTTGCCAGCCTGGGAAGTTCTTATTCTCCCTTATTCTGACCTCTGAGAGGTTTTGCAATGCATCTGCAGATATGAAACAATAAAAATATGTCCTTGGGGAGTTGATCACCTGTCTTTTATGTAGTAAAGCCGGGGTCCCCAACTTGTGGGTCACAGCCCACTAGTGCAATGGTCACCAACCAGTAGGCCAGGGACCACTGGTAGTCCATGAGAAAATGTTAGTGGTCTACAGAGAAATGTCACCCCCAAAGCATTCCCCATAGCAATTAATCCAGGCTGCGCGGGAACACAAGGCTGTGCCACCCACATGGCCCGCGGGAACACAAGGCTTGCATCGCTTGCATTGTGAACAACATGAGGTAGTGAGGGGAGGGGGGAAAAGGCCGGGGGGGGGGAACTTGCCCCACTCGCCCCATATGCCTCACATGGCCACCGGGCTGCTTCTTTCTGCTTCTTCTGCTTTTGGCTGCATGCAAGGAAAGCAGCAAAAGTCTTTCTTTCTCTCCCGCAAACTCCGCCAGAAGTAAGTGTTTGGACCCTGCAAGGCATCCTGCTCCAAGAGGCTGCGCCGGTGCGACAAGTCTCACAAAGACTCGTTTCTGGCGGAGTTTGGGGGAGAGAAAGATAGACTTCTGCTGCTTCTGCTGCTTTCCTTGCATGAAGCCAAAAGTCTCTCTCTCTCTCTCCCCCTGAGAACGGAGCTGGAGATGGTATCCTGCCATCCCAAATAAAGAATGATCGATCGGTAGGAAAACGAGGTGGGGAATTTTCCTGCAGACTTTTTTGGGGATTTTCCCAGGGTCTCTGATGCTTTCTGCAGAGACCCTGGGAAAACGTCAGCAAGCCACCGTCAGTCAAAATTCATATTAGTAGTCTGCGGGATTTAAAATGATGGTGGTCCCTGAGGTCCAAAAGGTTGGCGACCCCTGCACTAGTGGCCCATGAGGGTTTTGCAACTGGGCCGTGGAAATGGCTGGCGAGTGCACGCAGGGGGTGGTGAGCGCATACTCGCACACTCCATTCGCGTACACAGCAGGCACGTATGCACACCCGCTTTGTGGAATTGCCATGGAAAAAATAACCAGCCGGCCAGCAGCAACTTCTGACCAAACACAGAATCCAACATGATCAGCATAAAGAGGCCAACAAACTGGAGAGAAGATGGAATATCTTTCCTTCTGACGAAGGAGGCATCAACTTATTAGGGTCACATCCTTTACTACAGAGTTCCCCAACATTTCGGGCTTTGCAAACCAGGCATGGGGGGAGGCTCTTGCAACTGGACTTTCTTGTTTTTTTATTTTGAAGACATTTCACTTCTCATCCAAGAAGCTTCTTCAGCTCTGACAGGATGGTGGGGAATGGAAGGATTTATATTCCTTGCAGACAGCTGGCCATTTGCATCTTTTTAGAGGGTCCTTGAAGCACTTGGAGGTTTATCTGTGTCTGCAGATTCACCTGAGTACTAGGAACCAGAGGCACTATTCAGGTGATCCTGAGGACACAGATAAACCTCCAAGTGCTTCAAGGACCCTCTAAACCAGGGGTCCCCAAACTTGACAGCTTTAAGACTTGTGGACTTCAACTCTTCCTCCGGTCATGTTAGCTCAGGAATTCTGGGAGTTGGAAGTCCACAAGTCTTAAACTTGCCAGGTTGGAAGACCCTTGCTCTAAAAGGATGCAAATGACCGGCTGTCTGCGAGGAATATAAACCGTTCCATCCTGTCAGAGCTGAAGAAGGTTCTTGGATGAGAAACAAAAACGTCTTCACCTCTGGGACTGATCCAATTCATACATTATGTTAAATACAATCCCAATTACAGATCACATTATGCTAAAGATAATGTGCGTCCCAAATTTACCCACAACTGGCTGAGACACATCCAAAGCTCCTCCATTCTCAAACCATCTTGATTTCAAGTAGGCTTCAATCAACAAAAGTTAATTCATGACACCCTTGCTCCCTCTTTTATTGTTTGTAAACCACAGGCGACATGAGAAAGAACATGCAGCAGAAGCACCTATAGGAAACTATGCACGAGAGGATGTCTTGTTGTCCTTCATTTGTTGTCGCAGCAGTGCCATCGTTCCGCTTTCTCGTTCTCCAAGTGGCAGCTAACGGGCTTCTTAGGTGCCTGTTTTCTGTCCATCACCCACCTTGGCCCGCAAGATGCAGCAGCTTCTAGACTCCAAAACCAGCTAGGCTTCCAGTGCATCTGTCTGGAAGTCGGGACGTGGGGGGGCTTCCTGCACTCAGAGCCTCCACGTACCAGTCAGGCAGGAAACAGTAGTGAGAATCCTGATGCACTGTGAAGGAAACGGGTTGCCCTGGGTTCCAAGCAAAGAGATGAACCAACCTGGAAGAGAGGAAGGAAAAAGCGAACTTTTGAGATCAGGGGAGGAAATGTTTGGTTGTCAGGATTCCGGCAGTTACCCCCAATTAAATCATGAGTCAAACTTCCAAACTTAAAAAGGATTTATTGGGAGTTAAACTGTCCGGCACTGCTTGGGTGTAGCCGACTCTGAGACACACCATTCATTGTCACCCTTGACCTAGTTTTCCCCCCCACCCCCTGGGTGTATCGTAATTCATATTCTCCAATGGGACCCATCCATAGCCAAGTCATCCATCATACTCTCCAGTTAGAATTTTGCACGGCAGAAACTTCAGTCACCTAGTTACTATCTTTGAAAACTATTTATGGAATGCACTTTTGATTTCCAAGCTGCCACACTGTTCTTTCAAACCCCTTTCCCCCCTCCCTATCTGTTGGCAACTCTTAAAAAAAACATAGAAATATTTTATGAATTGACATAATTCCCATCGTCCATCACCATGGTTGCAGAACCTAGGATTGCTGGTCTGTCTCTTTTAATGGTCAGCTGTGGAAACCTCAATATTGCCAGCGCTTGAGAACTGAAGAGACCTCTCTCTCCTAAGTTCTGCAAAGATGGAGAACCCATCACTTTCCAGATGTTGCTGACGTCCAACTTCTAGCAATCCTTTGTCATTGGCCACCACCAGTTGTGGTTGCTAGGAGTTACCATTTAGCAACTTCCAGAGGTGCTCAGGCTCCGCTTCTTGATCTAGTCAACTGTTGCGGTGAACATGGCTTCCTGCCAGGTGTGTCAAAATTACGACTACTCACTTTGGGTTGTCTTCCGTCACCACTGTCTTCAAAAAGGCTAGAAAAGCAGCACAGAAATTCATACACACAGCTGGCTTCCAACAGCCTGGATCGTCCTGTCAAGAGTAGGGAAGAAATTGTTAACTTAAGAAATAACCGGGGCTTTTGTTTTGAGGCACAAATGCAACCCAAGTATATATCTTTTCATTTCCAGCCCTTAAAAGAAGAGCTATCGGGCTGGTCGCCATTTCTGTTTCAAACCAACATTTCTCCGTAAGAGCTACAGATCTAAGAGTTAAGAGTGTGTCTCTTTCTTATGAAGTGGGTTGCTTGAAACTTCCTTAAACTCTACGAGGAACCCAATGTTTCCGGCTTGGCGGACTGGCGGGGGAGGAGAGGATGGTTCTGCGCGAGTGGGCAGCAAGTGTGCGCCTAGCTCCATTTGTGCAAGCGGCGTGCCTGCACCCCTGATTCTCACTTAAAAGAAGCATGCTCGCCTGCTACTTGCGTCTGGATGCACATGCATGCGTGCACTCGCCAGCTGTTTTGGCGGCCCGGTGGCAACCCCCTCCAGGGCCCATAGGCTAGGGGTGCCTAATCTAAAACCACCGTTTCTCTTCCTTGGGAACGTTAAGATGCATGAACTTCAACTTGCAAAATTGCCCAGCCACCATGGTTAGCTGGGGATTTCTGGAAGTTGAAGTCCACACATTTTAAAGTTGCCAAGATTGGTTTAGACCAGTGGTGGCTAACCTTTTTGGGCTCCTGTGCCAAAAATTGTGTGCGTGCTCGCGTGCCAACACCCAGAAGGCAATGAGCACCCCCCACACACACACCCTGCGCATGCACGCACAATCCCCACACCTCCCCTTACCTGCACCGCACCTCACAGCTGATTTTTGCCTGGTTTGAAGCCTTTTTTGGTCTCCCAGAAAAACCCTCTGCAGGCCGAATAGGCCCATTTCATCACTTCTGGTATTAACAGGAAGTGACAAAATGGGCCTATTCAGCCTGCAGAGCCTTTTTTTCAAGCCACTGGGAGGCCGAAAAAGGCCTCAAACCAGGCAAAAATCAACGGCGAGGCCTAGTTTGAGGCCTTTTTCGGCTTTCCAGTGGCTTGAAAAAAAAGGCTCTGCAGGCCGAATAGGCTCGTTTCGTCAGCCGTGAGGCACACGCATGCGCAGAGGTACGTTTGCCTGCGGTTCATGTGCCAGCACAAATGACTCTTATTGCCACCTCTGGCAGGCGTGCCATAGGTTCGCCATCACGGGTTTAGACCATCAAGGAAGCTTCAAATAACCCACTTCTAACCCTCAAAGGAAACAGTATTGGAGAAACCCTAATTTCTACTCCTGCCTGAGGCGTGAAACCTGGCTATGTGACTTTTGGCTAGTCCCTCCTTCTCAACCCAATCCCCCTCATATGGTGGTGGTTACGGGGGGAAACTGGAATGTTATGTATGTTTGTTGCCTGAGTTATTTATTAAAAAATAAGACGGGATATGAATGAATAAAAATAGAGGAAATTGGGGAATGACACACTAGCGGTGGCTGCTAGATTTATGACAGACTCCCCTTTCCCCCTCCTTTGTTCTCCATCTATCCATCTTTTTGATTATCATCATATTCATTCTTCTTGTAATTCCTTTGTCACTGCTTAATTAAATGTTTACTGTTACTTCATTTGCATATGCCTTTTCATTTTCTTCCTTTTTACAAATACAAGCCACATAGAGCAGCCCCATAGCAAAGTAGGCAGCAAATAAAATATAAAAATAAGAATAAGAATGAAGATGAAGATGGAGGAGGAGGAAGAGGAAGAACAAGAATAAGAATAGGAGGATGAGGAGGAGGAGGAGGAGGAGGAGGAAGAGGAAGAGGAAGAGGAAGAGGAAGAGGAAGAGGAAGAAGAAGAAGAAGAAGAAGAAGAAGAAGAAGAAGAAGAAGAAGAAGAAGAAGAAGAAGAAGAAGA